ATCATCATTAATACTACTAATAATATCAATAGCACTATTATTATAAACTTACTATATATACCGCAGATAAAAAGGAAACTACAATTACTACTAGGAACCACATATACATATACAGTACAAACACAAAAAGAGTTCATCGGCTTGGGAAGTAAGAAAGGGAGACAAGAAAACAGTTACATAATGGACCTAGCCACCTCAATAAGGAAGGAAAGGAATAGTTTGATAAAAATACTTATTTCTCAAAAGCACACACATAGGTTACATGTAATACTGGTTACATGTATTACAATCTTATCAACACTTACCATGCATGATTTCCATTTCGCTTTTTTGGCACTCTGTCGCTTAAGTGACAGAAATGAACAAAACACTCATTTAGACCTTTTCAGTCCTCCATTGTACCTCTAGGCGTGGCTAATTGCAATTGAATATCATTCTGATTCACTTGTTTGATTTTACCTCAGTCTGATATCTCTGGTCTGATCAGGGATATAAAAGACTAACGTAACCGGGATTGGCAATGGGATCACGTGAGCGCATCATTTGTGTATAAAAACTTTTTGCAGTCTCTGTTATGATTTTCAAGATGGCGGCTGTCAATGTCTGGAGTATGAAGTTGCTCTTTTCTCTTTTAAAGATGTATTTAGCTTTATGAAAAATCTACTGCAAAGTTATAATGGCGGCTTCAAGGTTCTGATAGGTTATTGTAAGTTAATATTTGTTTTAAATTGTTTAAATCTTCAATTTACGGCTAAAATTCCATTTGCGTACCTCTGTAGCCCAAATATTTGTTTCAATGAATGTGTTTTTGTCATGAAATGTTGCTATTTACTTTATTACATTGTTTAGGCAACTTCTCTTGTTTCTCCAGAGTGTTCTTCATGAATTATTCAAGAAAAACCACCAGTTTGCCATGGTATGACTTTTGCGTACCTCTCAAGAGAATAGACTACATTCTATTGCTATGAAACCACAATAAGGAGACCCTTTACATGTTTTTACATTGTTTAAAGTTGTTTTTGAATTTTCCCTGTTGCTGGTTTTTTTTAGTTATAACAATTTACATTCAGCCATTTTGCTAAGATGCCATTGATTGCTGCCATTAATTTAATGAATAATAACAGAGTCTGATAATTGATTTCCGGTCCGTAACCAATCCCGGTTACGTTAGTCTATTATATCCCTGGTCTGATATATTGCTGTTATGCAAAGAAGATACTGGATGTAATGCTACATTAATGAATCTTCACTCTGAGTGTAACAGTGCTGTTTACACTGGTGTATCATGATTTTATGAAGATGGCTGCCAGTCACATGGAGGGAATCGGAATTGCTTTTCTTGAGTTTTTTAAGGCTTACGAAGGTAATAGCGAAGTTGCAGCCTATTCTGACAGTATAACAGATGAGTATAGGCTGTTATAAAGTTGAAAAAAGGACAATTTCTGAAGATTGCCATTTCAGTGGTCATTTTTGAGTGAAACAAATTATACGAGCAGTGAGTCAACCTATTTTTAACATCTGATTATTATGTTTTTGCTTGAATTATTCAGATAGGCATGATAATTTTGTGGGTGGTGTCACTGTGGTTGCCGCCATGTTTTGTAGGTCAATTTGCTCAATTGAAGGTACATTATGTAGTAACTATCATAAGAATGTGACACTGAAAAGTGTTCATTACATTAAGATCTTTGAAAGGATGCTGTATTAATAATGCCAATTAATGTAAAACAGCAATTTTGGTGGTGCAATATTGGTATGTTTTGCTTTATATTTTCTGTAGGGTTCTGTACTCATTTTGATAACTGAGCTGTGTGTGGCGTGATTACCTCTTACTTATAATGAACAGTATTGTATTGATATTATTTTGAAAGGGAAAGCCCCCTGAGCTAACTGCACAAGATTTTTGACTGGAAATATGTCCATCAGAAATGACAAGTTCTCTGTAAGTTGCT